TATATATATATATATATCAATATAATCAAATATATAATCAAATATATATATATATACATATGTCGCGTGTAAAGATAAATAAGAAATACAAGTAGTTAGTTGATTGATCATTCGAGTACATCAACCTATCAAAGAATATGTTGAGGGATTATAGAGATATCGATATCAATATCGATATAGGCATTAATTGTGGAATGAAAAATCTCATTAAGTTATGAATAATATCATAAGTACAATATATATTTATCTGACAGATCACAATGATTCTAATTGTAAGATGCGTTTTTCAATTAATTATTCCAGTTTCTAATTGTAAGTTAGTTTTACTATCTATCTCTTTCTTTCTATTCCTCTGAAATTATTCCACGATGAATAAAAATATGGCATACTTGAACTTAATCCAGAAATGATCTTTGTATAAATTTGACATATGCGCATAGTGCCATATTACATATATGTTTCCTTTATTATCTATAGTAGTAAAAGATATCTAACGGATTACTGCGAAATCGTGCGAAATTTTAACGCTCGTTAGATTATGCTATATAGTACGTTATATAACAATTACATAATGTTAAAATTATAATTTTACTTAAACTATTACATTTATATTATACATTATAGAATATTATAAATATTAGGCTATTTAATATAATATATATAACAATTATATATTATTAATTATTACTATATATATATATAGTATGTATAGTATAATTAAGATATTTATTTAATAAATGTAGTACAATATAATATAATAACTAGTATATACTATATCAGGGCTTCCCAAAATGTGGGTCGCGACTCCATATGGGTTCGAATAACTAATAAGTAAGGTAACAGAAATTTTAGCAAAACTAAAATATTCCTGGACAAGCAACGACCGAAAATTAATGCAAAACCAGTTTAACAACATTACACGTATAGTAAACGTCTGTGATTTTATGATAGTGTGAGAAGATAGTAAAGAATCTATATTCAGGGTCGTATAAATATTTTTTCGAATAAAAGGAGTCATCAAATGAAAAAGTTTGAGAAACCCTGTATTATACTATACTTATAATTATTAGTTATATACTAATTATAATTTTTACTAGTTATGTATATAACTAGTAAAAATTAATATAAATATATATGTTTAATAATTTTACTTATTGTTAGTTTAGTATAATACGACGATATACTAGAATGAATAAATAAAATATAAAAGTTATTAGATTAAATAATTTTTGTTATAAAAAAAGAAAAAAAGGAAATATCTATTAAATAGAAAAATAAAATAACAAACCTGAGTACGTCGTCACGTTTCCTCTTGGTCGAACTTTTTCCCTGACGATTATTATCTTGTTCTCTAAAACTTGGGCTGTATCTTTTATCTAACGTAACTTCACCGCTACTGGAGGCCTGCATTACACCTGAAACATCGTCCCACTGATTAGTCTAACGATTCTAATTGTCACAAAATAAGAAAGAATGTTTTTTTTCCTTTTTCTAGCTTTTTAATCATTTCTTTTCTTGCGTTCCATTTGATTATATTGTAAGAGACAAATTATTTTATTAAATAGAATTTTTTTTTTCATATATACATATTTTTTCATATATAAATTATATATATATATATATATATATATATATATGTATATATATGTATATATAATTTATATATGAAAAAATATGTTGCAGTTAATTTCTAACGAAATTATTCTGATCTCAGACAAAATGCAAAGACAATCATTATACAAAATTATGTATACATTTATAGAAAGAGAAATAGATAGATAAATAGATAAATAGATATACATATACATATATAAACGTGTACACGTCGTTCATATACACGTTACTAATCTACAGAAAAGATATTAAGAGAGAAATAAAGAGAAAGAGGAAGAGAGAGAGAGAGAGAGAGAAAAAAAAGAAATAGATAAATAGAGAAAGATAATGGATCGTTGCATTTGGTATTTAGATGTTTTCTTAAAAATTAAACGCGTTTTATATATACTTAAATCTAAAACACTTTTCTTATACATCATATTAACAATAACAATAATAATAATAACAACAATAATAATAATAATAATAATAATAATAACAATCACAATAACAATAATAATGATAATAGTAATAATAATATAACAACAATAAAGTTAATACGCACGGACCCTTTTCAACGGGATGTGCTGTGGAAGTAAACAATTTCATATGAATAATTTAAAAAAGGAAAAAAAAATAATTATTAAAGATTGATAGAAAAAAAAAATATAGGAAAAGTAAAATGATGTACGTTTAAAAAGAAAAAAAATTCTAATTATTAAAAAAATTGTTGATACAATTGAAATGATTACAACTAATGTTCAATATAAAACAAAAGTAGTGTCAACAAAATAATGAATCGAATTTCGTTATAAGAAATTTCACTATGGGTTTTACGAATAACTATGTATAATGATTGCATAAATGATTTTGACTGGAAGAAACATATACGAAGAGAATCACAGGCAATATTAAGGAATTATGATTTAACTGTATCAAAAACAAAAAAATGGAATATCTTTTTTATCTTTAAATTTTTTTGATTATTATTATTATTATAATATATATATGTATATTTTTTTGGATCTTCAGATATCTAATATCACACGATGGATATATATTGATGATCAGCAACATAATACAAACCCCGAGCATTGGCCAAGGAGTAGTAAATGGAATTTGTTCAGGGCACTAGTGGGTCTGCAAGCAGGCCATGCCTCGATTCCCAGACACGTATCCTTGTGACTATTGGCTCTCGGGATACTTAAAAGAAAATGTTCTTTGCTAGACAATCATCAAACATATCGTAGTTGATGCATTCATTCATTTTTTGTTGGTTTTTTTTTTTTAACTTTTTTAGTTTTTTTATGTATACTCAAACTTGCGTTCCCTATCCGTTGATAATTCCGTGTCACTGAGCACGCAATATCCACCGCCTCAATATCCCCATTACTTTCATCTGATCCTAACCATGGTCGTACAAATGGACTGCATCCTTGCACACCGACGTATACCTTACAAAACCGATGAATCTCTCTCTGGCTTCTGTAAGTGCACATAATCATGTATTGTGCAACATTTTCCAAATGCCCAAACATGGCATCTCGAAGCCAATTAAATCAATTACTATAGAATATATGTATTTACGTATATCGATTAAAAAAGAAAATAGAAATATTTTTATTTTATTATATAGATTTAATTTGTAAGTAAAAGAAGAAGAAGGAAATGGAATAATTATCTATTTTTGTTTTGTTTTACAAATTTTGACACATATATATATATACTACAAATGTATAATAATTTGTTATATTTCGTCTTACTAACAATTCAAAAAAAAAATAATAAAGAAATATCTTTTAATATCCGACAAATATCTTTGCACTTATACTACGAATAATAATTCGTTAATGTTGCATTTCAATCAAAATTCGAACAAATGCATAAATCTATTGCCGATTATTATGAAAGTGGACTAAATTAAAAACATCGTTTTAAATTAATTTTATGATTTATTTCATATTACAAACTATTTCTGTTAGAAAATAAATCATAAAATTTATCTTTTTACATTTTTTTGTTGTACTTAATCCACGGTAATGCATAATAATCGGGACAAATAATAAAATTGTAAATTTTCGAAATCAACTGCATTGAAGAAAAAGAGGGAGTGGTGAAAGAGTCGAGAGAAGAAAAAAAAAAGAAAAGAAGGATTAGTTACTTTCGATAAGATAAAAATAAAATTATCATTCTTAAGTGAAAAGATGAAATGAAGATTCACCGATAAGACATGGAATGGCAAATATAGGACAGAGAAACAATATAAAACAAGCGCGTATGCATCATCGATTGTCCGATATATAAGTGAACGTCATTGAATGTCCTTCAAGCACACATTCTACGAAACATACGATACTAACAAAAGAGGTTTCTTTAGGAATGCATTGTTTCATTTCTCTATTTTTATTACCTATTTTTTCTTCTCTTTTTCGTTAATTACAGACATAAAAGCAGACATCTGTTTATTAATCGGCTTCAATCAAAAAAAAAAAAAAAAGATAATTTGAAATTGCATAAGAAATACGATTTTATAAATATTATCTTATCTACAGCGACAGAATAAAAATAATAAATCCAAATAAATTGATAAATGAACGTTTAATATGTATCATCATCACAAGTTAAAGACATTTTTAATTCGATTTATCTTAAACGATATAACGAACGATTGCAATGTCACAACGAAATAAAACATCAATAAAAATATTTATAAGTTTCTAATTCTTTACATTTTTCTACAAAGTGGGTCAAAAGTTCTGAGACAATTGATATATATATATATATATATATATAAATATAGGTGATTATAAAATAAAAAACCTCCGTAAAAAATTTAACAACAAAATATATTATTTCTTTTTTAGGATAGTCTCAAACAACAACAAAAAAAGAAGGAAACATGTAGCAAATATAAAAAGTCAAATGATCGTGACCTCTTTTAAAAAGTCCTGCGTTAAATCCATATGTATAGATAACAGACTCATGGTCGACGTCAGGTGACACTGATAGTCACACGTTCGCTTCCATTTCTAACAACCTTTCCTCTCTTTTCCATTCACCAGATTCCCTTTCCACAAATTCTTACTACTACTTCCACGCCCACATCCATATACATATACATACGCACGCGTGCGCATCACACATCATTACATACTTATATAAATTCCCATTGCTCATCTATTCGGAAAATACGTCTTTTTAGTATTTCAACTTGTATTAGAGAAAGAGAACGTAACTTTTTTTTTTTGTATAAGACTTGAATATTAGATCAAAAGAGCTATTAAAAAAGAAATATTAAAGAAGAAAAACAAATAACTAAAATAATTTAAAATTTTTAAATAAAAAGGAAATATTATAGAACGAGAGGGAAAGAGAGAGAGAGAGAGAGAGAAAGGGAAAATAGAGAATAAAGAGTTCAGCAACCTGGGGAGAGTTTCAAATGAAAATACTACCTTTACCTACAACAGAAGTAGAGACTACTATCGATCGAAAGAGAAGTCTCATTTACGAGACTCTACGAAAGATCTAATTTAGTCGCATAGTGAATTTATCCATCCATCCATCCATCCATCCATCCATCCATCCATCCATCCATCCATCCATCTATATATATATATATTTATCTATCTACCTAAACGTGAAATAAAACATGAAATTTATATTATTCGCTTATAATACGAAAATTTTCCTACTACCGAGTCACGATTTTCTTTCGCGGTATCGTTTAAAGCTAAAGTTCTCAGAATTATTATCGTTCTGGGATAAATGCCAGTAATTGAAGTATTGCTGGAAATAGCTTAAGCCACTTTACGCACTTTAATAACGGTAAAAACTAATACTTATCAATTTTTTATTATCTTTCGTTTTATTCCAATATTACATTAAAATAATGTTAAATGCGTTTTGAAGATATTTAGGTTTATACAAAAAATAAATATTTCGTTGGCAAATCGTAAACAGCAATAAAAATCAAACTGGATATTTCTTTCTCTCTCTCTCTCTCTCTCTCTCTCACACACACACACACACACACACACGTTTTCTCTTTCTAAAATCGATATATTGAATTGATCAATAAGTAAAGTCGCAATTTTCAATAAACAAACTATTCTACAGTTTCATTTCTTTAGATAGAAGATACCAAACATTGCTGACATATTTCTTTTTATTTAACATATTGTGCTTTTACGTTTAGATATAAAATATTAAAAATTTTATCAATAAAAAATACTCATATTATTTATTTTAAATATAAACAATACATTTTTGTTTATTATTTATATATATTTATAATATTGAAAATATTGCAAATTCTGATTAATCGATAAACAGTTTTTAAATTGTACGCACTCGAAAAAGCAATTGTTACATAATATTACGAATATGTAGGAACACAAATATACACATATATTTATGAAAAAATTATATAGGCGAAGAAATAAAAACAAATAAATACTAAATGTCATTCGAGCAATATTTCAATAAAATGTAAAACGTTGTCTTATTTTTACACATTATTTAGCGGTCAATAGGGTTGGCACTTCCGTCATTAACAAGCGATTACAAAAATGCAAAACTATTCTGATTATATCATAACTATTTCCAAGAACTCGTATGATTAGAAATAAGATTAGGTTTAACTGCGCAGTAACTTTTTACTGAAAGCTTTTAATTGATAATGTATAATATATACAAATTATTCATCATTTGCAAGCAATTAATTATATCTTTCACTTCATTAAAATGTAATTTTAAACATAAAATGAACAATTCGCGTAAAAAATAAACCAATTGTATTTATTTTAACGTGGTTATCATTCTTTAAAAAATTGCAAGTTTCTATTAAAATAAATTTTAATAAAAAAAAACCTTTTATTATAAAAAATAAATAAAACAAATACCATAAATATTACGGCTTCATACTTTCGCGTGAACAATTTTTTTCCCCAGAAAAGCATATGACTGCAAGGTTACATGATGTTACTGAAGATTAAGTTAATTATCAACAAAATTAAAGTAAAAAACATCGACGAACGGTAATTCACATAATTAGAAATTTGTATGCAACGCTATACTATCTTTTTTCAATGTTGCAAGAGAAATTAAAAAGAGAAAAAAAAATATTAGAAATGAGTATTTATGAACGTATTTAGAAAAATACGTTCATAAATTTGTCAAGCGTGATCATTCATTGATGATCGATAATCCAACCATATTTAAGAATCTTACCTATTGCAAATAACCATGACGCGACTAATTGTTATTCCGCGTAGAAAACATTTAAGTATCAGCTGAATCATTCTTCTCGCATAATTACTTATCACATTCCAAATGTTTTTTATCAAAACGCGTAATCCATATAAATTATTCACTAATTAACAAACAACGACTAATGGATAATAGAAATAATTATTAATAAAATTAATTTCATATAATATTTTACTAACATGAATCATTACTTTTTTCATTATTTATATTCATATCATTCATGTTAATTTCTTATGCAAGTCTTGTCTTAATTTATGTATAAAACGACATATAAAACCTTGATGAAAATAGATAAACAAAGAAAAGAAAATGGAGATATCTATTATACAAAAATATGTGCCTGGTGTATCAAAAATTTCAACACAATTTCAAAAAAAAATTTCTCGAAGATTGTTTAGACTATTATTTAATTTTTATAATTATTTCAAATTAAAAAACTACAAGCTTAAGAAAAAATGATTCATTTATATATAAACAATTTATTTAAAAACTTTTCTAAGTTGACTTTTATTTGTTTTTTAATATATAAATCATATAAATATAAATTGAACATCTGTATGATTATAATGGTACAACAATGAATGTAATGTACTATTTAAATCATAGATACTAGAGAATATTTATACATTGTAGTTGTTAACCAAAGAGGGTACTTCTTACCCTCGTCACGAATACGAGTAGAAATATATAGTATATATCTTACTTTCTAAACAAAAGCTCTCTGATTCGTGCCTCGAATTTTTTTTTTTTCTTTCTTTCTTTCTTTCTTACTTATTTTTTCTGACAAAGAAAAAGAAAAAAAAACATATTTTTAAGCATTCGGTTAAGATTGCAAGGGAAAACTAATAGTTTTGTTTATTTATGCGACGTGTTGACGTTATTAGAAAGTAATTGTCAAACCTAATAGGAATGTGAAAGTATGTGTGTATGTATGAGAAATATTCTTTGCAGTGATAAATTCATTAATAAAAAAAAAAAAATTAATGAACAAATGAGCTCGATTGATCTAATTTTATGATTCTACTCGAATAAATTGATCTATATTTTAAAATACATTATAGTTTACATATATACATTAATATTATAGGTCATAAAAAAGTGAACAAGTTAAACGTGAAATCTCATGAAATATATGTATGATGTATTTATTGCATTTTGTATAATAAGTACAAATGAGCAAAACTGTAAAAAGTTCGTGATAAAACGAGATATTAAAAATGGATATTAAAAATATATACATGATTATGTATATGTGTATATATGTGTGTCCATTTTAAAATGGACTCACAATCAGTTGATGATAAAGTTTCCTCATGCATCAAGTGTAACAAAATTTTTATAATCAAGCCAATACGCAAAATGCACTTTGATCTTTATTCATGTGTTACAGATGTAACACTAAATGGGATCACTTTGTTTAATATCTCATTGGAAGAGGAATATGTATATATATGTACATGCATATGTCTGGAGATAGAAAACAATAGACTGGAATCATCAAACAGTCTCATTCAACAACTGTGTCTACATATTACAATGTTATCATTGTAATCACGTAAAGCTTATTAAAATAATTTAAATTCCATGTAATTAATATTTATTATATATAGATAAGCACCAATCACATTAGAATGTCGAACAAAGTTTTTCATTATTTTATTATACGATTTCGTTATAGTTTTCAATATAGCGGAACGATGATATGTTTGATAAACAATTGAGATTATTATTGATAGTTTAATAGATTTATATTATATCTTTAAATAAGTCTAATAAAATTCATACATTTTTTAAAGAGTATTATTATTATATTTGATTTAGTTATTTAAAATAATTATGAAATATCTTTAAATATGGCGAAATGATGACTCCGAAATTATTGTTGATAATAATAATCATTGTTGATAAATAATTTTAAAAATTTTAACTCTATTAATTATATACCGAAAAAGAAAAATAATATATGTCGTAGATTAATTTCAACCGATAAAAATTAATTTGACCGATAAAATTTCTTGTTTCTTTCGGATAAAAATAATCGTTATAATGAAACGATCAAATCTTCTTTTTTTTTTAACGCCGTCGTATTAGTTCTTTTTCACCATTCCGTGCGGAAAGTGTCAACTTTCCGCCCGCTGTGCAAAACGAAGTTGCCGCTTTCCGCCTACGTCGAGCAGAAAAAAAGTATACACAAATAAGAAAGCTTCAGAGCACATGTAATTGTTGTCCGAGGCGAAGCCGAGGTCAATAAACATGTGCTCTGAGACATTTCTTACTTTACCGCCCTAGGTATGTAATATACTATTCTATTGATGAGATAAAGGCAGAAAGAAAAAAAAGAAAGAGAACGTCCCACATTTTACTCGTGTTACTCTCGCCTTTTTCATTATTACACGTTTACGAAACTAATTTCTTTTTTGTGATTATTTTAATCTTATAACAATTATATGTGAACACTTCAGTTCGAAGAGGAATAAAATTTATACGTATAATATTAAAATAAAAACGTATATATCCCGTTGGTGGGTAGAAAAATGTTAAATCTAGCATAGAAACAACTTTCGTTTTCATTTAAATTCACTTTTATTTAATTAAAAAAATAAATAAAATTTAAATTTATTGAAGTTCATAACTTTTTAATCCACGTTTGTAGATGAATAAGCGTTTTAGAAAAAAGTTTTTATTGTTAATTTATCAAATATTAATTACGTGATATATATTTATTCTTTTATTTTAAGTATTTATTTTTATTTATAATTATTTTAATTTTTAATTAGCATATTTATTTTGGAGTTATATGAATTGAATTAAATTATCTGATAATTAGCATTAATTATTTAAACAGTGATTCTCTGTATAAAAAATAAATATGAGTTTGTAATTAAACAAAAATTGATTAATGATAATAAAACTGAAATATAACAAAGATAAATAGATATACGAGAGTGAGTTGAAAGTTTTAAGCCTATTCTTTTCTAAAAGTTGAGACTGTATCAAAAAATAAAATTGAGTTTGAACGAAAAAAAAGAGAAACTGATTTTCACGTTAGACTCAAAACATTTCAATCCGCTCACATACATAATTTAAAGAACATAAACACAAATAACAAAAAAATATATTTATATTATATGCTTATATATATAAGTATGTTTCAATATTATTATTTATAATAATAAATAACATTCTAATAATAAATACAAATAGATAGACTAATTATACACATATAGAATATACTATTGGTGAATATAATTAATATTATGATGCATCATATAATGATATACGTTTGATCTTACCTTTAAATTTTGGGACAAACATTTGTATATCTTGTGGAATGTTTTGATAGAAGTCAAGTTCCCTGCAGTTCAATGGTTTACAAATAGTATTCTTGTTGAGTAGCAGCAGCCTTGTATGTCCACCAACCTAAGATATGCACATAAACATATAAATATGTATATACATAAATAATTGTTTATTTATCTCACAATATAATAAATAATTAATATATAAAATAGACGAACAAAAATTTTCTTTTACAATATGTATTATTTGTCATAAACAAAAAAATTGTTACCGAATTGTTAGCAATTTTGATTGAAATTTTACTTAAGAGACAAAGAAAATCAATAGAACCAAAAATATTTATTAACTCAAAAAAACACTTATATTCTTTCTTTCTTTCTTTCTCTTTTTGTTTCATACAGTAAAGCATATTCTATTGATTTGATTATAATCAAGATTATGAATGGAACAATATTTAATTAAATAAAAAAATAAATTAAATTTCATCATCTTGAAGAAAAACAAATAGTAAACAAATAAAATTTTATTTGAGACTAATGAGGTGTTAAAAGTACGAGATGTTTGTTTTGATTAAATTAGAAAAAAATAATGTTATCTCAAATAGTAAATTCAAACATTCCGTGTATTCAAACAAATTTTATTGACATTTATACCAGTTAAAAGAAAGAAAGGAAGAAAGATAAAGATGAGATAAGATTAATTAAATAAAAAGAGAAGAAAAAATGGTATTACATACCTGATTCTTGAGAGGATGCAACGCAACTTCTTCGTCATGGTCCTGAAACGAGGAAGAGACTGGCGAAGCGTTGGTGCTATGGCACTGTGATTCAGTCTCTCCCATACCCCAAAGACCCGTCAAATATACCATACCCGCGTACTCTTACAGGATATCAACCCAATCTCTCGGTTATGCTTTAATTTATTTAATAATATATATATATAAATATATATAAATATTATTTTTGTATAAAGACAAAAAGAGAGAAAAAGATATATATATATATATATATATATATATGAGAAAGAGAGAGAGAGAGAGAGAGAGAGAGACAAAGAGAGAAATGTGTGTGTATGGATTGAGTACGAATAAAATGATATTTAAATTTAATAAAAAAATGTTCTTTCCCCTTATTTATTTCTTTGTGTCAGTTCTCGATTCCTGGTGGCTCTTTCTATGTAGTACAACCAGAGAAAAACAGTTTTCACTTCCACGTCACAATCACTGTTACCATTATTTATAATGAACACTTTATTTATAAAAATGTTATTTTACTGACATATAAGAACATAAATCGACTAGTTATATTCTTAAAATTAAACAGAAGGTCCTTCTTCGATTCTTTATTACAAAATATTAACAATGATTGTAACGTACGCTGATCACATCAGCTGTAGGTGGGTGGGGATGGCATACTGAACGGAGAAACCGTGTGCCAAGGATAAGCCAACACAGTTCAAACGATCCATTTCTCTCTGCTACACTCTCAAAAATCGTACATTCTTATTGGTTGAAAGTTCCCTCTCGCGAGAGAACATTAACCAATCGACCTATTCTATCCCCCACCTCGAAACTCAATCCTTTTCACTCTACATGACACTTTTTAAGAATTGTTATTATTTTGCGTTCTAAAAAGCATCCGAAATTTGTAAACGTTCTGAAAAGGAGATTATTGACAAATTTTAACTTTTCTTCTATTATTTTTTTATTTTAAACACGTGATATGTGATTTAAATGTTCTATTGTTTTGTTTTTTCTTTAAAAAATTATATAATTTATTTTTTGCAATAAAAGCAGATATTAGTCATAATGGTATTGTTAGGCGAAACATTTCCAAATTTTACCGCAGAAACACAAAATGGTAAAATTAATTTTCACGATTGGCTTGGCGACTCGTAAGTTATTTGTTTATTTATTTAATTTGCAAACTATCTACATTATAACATCGTCATTTTTGTTTTCGTAATTTTTATATGAACACCATTTGTAAAAATAATTAATTCTCTTAGTTGGGGTATATTGTTTTCGCATCCACATGATTTCACACCTGTTTGCACTACAGAATTGGCAAAAGTTGCCAAATTAATGCCAGAGTTTAATAGATTGGGCATTAAAGTTATTGCATTATCATGTAATTCTGTTGATTCTCATCACAAATGGATTGAGGTATATTTTAAATATATTTTGTATTATTTAATAATTCTCAACTTTATATACAATATATTATTATAGGAATATTATTAGATGTAGCAATTAATTTGGTGTCTTTTTAACAAATTTAGTATTTTATTATTATGTTATTATTTAGTTGTTATTCTACAAAATAGTTTCTATTATTTTCTATGACTTTTTTCATTTTTAAAACAACTATCAAATTCCTTGATGAAAAAAGATGACAATCGTAATACGAAGAAGAAAACGAATTAAAACAACTACACCTAATATAGAAAATAGTTTATACTTAAAAAAAAAATAGGTTTTAAACCGACTATTCGAATAACTTTAACAATTTTAGTGATAGGAAAAAATGTTGAAAGTAAAAATTGTTCGTTATCAAGGTAATATTATAATGTTTACATCAAAGGTATCAAAAACTTGTTCTTTAGAGAATACTCACAATTTTATTTATTAAATTAAACTAAAATGTTATTATTAATAAATTATTATTATTTGAGCGTGACCTAGTTTACATTCTCTTTAGTAATCAATATATCACAATACACATCTTTCAATTTTTCCTATTAAAAGAAATCTAATGATGTCAAGTCTGATGATCGTGATGATCATTTAAGATTGCCCATTTGTTCAATCTAATGATATTAAAATCTTTTATGTGCTAACATCTAGGAAAAAATGCTCCCTCTATAATATGACTAGTTGTTCCTCGATAACGAACAATTTTTACTTTAAACATTTTTTCCTATCACTAAAATTGTTGAAGTTATTCAGGAGGCCTTTTTTAAATAACTTCCTCTGTATACAAATAATTATACAATTTCAATTATAGGACATCAAAAGTTATGGAGAAATAACTGATGAAGAATTTCCATATCCTATAATAGAAGATGAATCTCGCCGACTAGCAACGATGCTTGGTATGTTAGACCCAGCAGAGTTAGATAGTCAAGGTTTACCTGTGTCAGCTCGAGCTGTTTTCATAATAGACCCGTCCAAGAAAATGCGTCTTTCAATTTTATATCCAGCGACTACTGGAAGAAATTTTGAGTATGTAATCTATAAAAATTTCGATTTATCCTTAAAATCTTTATTTTACTTATTTATTATCATCTATTTTTGTTTTGTTCAGTGAAATATTACGAGTCATCGAATCACTTCATTTAACTGACAAATTCAAAGTTGCAACCCCTGTTGATTGGAAGGTAGATGATCCATTCAATTTATTAACAATTCTTCAATTGGTTTATTTCTTTTATATTTGATAACGTATTTTCTATTTCTTTTTTTCTTAATTAGAAAGGAGAAGAAGTTATGGTTCAGCCAAGTGTCACCGAAAATGAAGCAAAAGAATTATTTCCAACTGTAAAGACTGTTAATCTTCCATCCGGGAAAACGTATTTGCGAATTGTATCGCAACCAACATAAAAAATAAAGTGGGATAAAAGACGTGAGATAAAACATCAATAAGAATAATTTTAAATTAATTATTGCATATATACTTTGATACAATGTACACGATACAAAATACAGAGTAATAATGTCTGACATTTTCAATACTGAACTTATATTTTTTTGTGTAGCCTTTTTTATATATATGACAATGTAGTTAATATAATAATAAACGAAATATATATATCATTAAGATTCGTGATGTTGTGACGGTTGTTACAAAATTGAATATCGAACATGGATGCTGCAAGCTACCAATTTCTTCTGATCGAGGTCAATATACTAAATAAAATGGAAGTCTTGGCGCTTGGCATTTGCAAACAACAAAAGAAGCTGTTTATTATTTCATCTAATGTAATTAAAAGTACATTGCGTTATTATATACACTTCTTCAAGTACACAGTTTACTTATGAGCTATAGGCATACGTTTATTTACAGTTCCTTTTTTCGTTTTTATTCATTCATTTAATTAATTAATTATTTATTTATTTACTTACTTATTTATTAAATTAATAATAGATTTTACTTTCCTAAGTTATGATTATATTAATTAAATCGTGTTATACCCCCTATTGTTTTTGCGCAATAGAGAGCTAGTGCACAATAAAATGATAGCAGTTTTATAAAAAACAGTTCCTCCTACGGTCAAAACTGATAAGATCGTAAAAGATATTAAATTTAACAAAATAATATTTGTTTGTTTGTTTGTCTATTTTTTATCTTTTTTCTTTTTGTTTCCTTTAAATAGTAATGTTACGTAATTAAAAGTTAATCTCCACACAAATTATCGAGGAATAAAATATTATCACTCGTTTCCAAAGTATTCTCTTAACGTACATCACACACCAACAACCTGTTTTTATATTCTTTAAATATTCACTTACGCGAGATGCCACTTCTTAATCGTATATGTCCTTTTCTTCATTTATCGCACACATTGATGAAAAAGCTACTGAAAATGTTAAATTTACTTCAGTAGTCCTTTAACGCACTTGTGTTTGTTTGAAGAAAAAAACGATTAAGAGAGATGCACAGATTAAAGAGTCCTCTACCGCATTGCAATAAACGATACTCGATAAAAATGGATTAGCTAGGCTATTATAAATAACCATGTAGTTTTAAATCGAGATAAACTATAAAGAGTTCGATTGGTCTCGATTATTTAGCACAGAAACTAAACCACTATTGATCACTTTAACGCGAGTTCATTCGTTTCCAACATGAGTGTCTTGTTGTTGGGTTTGTTGCTGCGATTGTTCTTGCGATTGTTGCTGCTGTTGTTGTTGGTGTTGTTCGGATTGCAATTCACATTCCATTCTTGCTTGACGTTCTGCCGCAGCTCTTGCTTGTCTACCAGCACTAGACCGGAGATTTTTTCGTTCGGGCGGAGGTTCAATACTCAATCGTTTACCACTTCGTGATTTTTTACTTTTAGCGCCTTTACCATCTTCTTCGCTTTCCCCTACATGAGTTTTATTATTCGAATCCCCTTTCGTAGTTGTCGAAGCTTGCTGTGAAGGAGATGGTACATTCGTAATCGTCGTTGTTGGAGGAGGTTCACTCGTCGGTTCCTTTTTGCTTACGTTCAAGGGTGTCTCGGAAGAAACTGTAGCAACAGTAGAAGTATCTTCTTGAGGAGCCTGCTTTGGTGTACTCGTTGATCTACCAACTGACTCCACTAATCCATCGACTGATCCCGTATTATCATTACTTGTTACTGTTGTAGTCTTCGCAACCGTCTCGCTAATAATCTCGGTTCGTAATTTTTTCGGTACAGGTTCTAATGATACCTCTAAGGAAGTAGATGGTTGTTGTTGTTCCGAGTTCTGATTACGATCTGAGTTACTTCTTTTTTCGCTGCATCGCTGCTGTTGTTGTTGTTGTTGTTGCTGCTGCTGTTGTTGCTGTTGCTGCTGCACATCTTCGAGATTTCTTGTTAGCAACTCCGCACTGGTTCGACTTAAATGTTCCAAAGCCTCTTTCATTTCTTGTTCTTTACTTTTTCTTTCGAGTCTTCTTTCATTAGCTTCAGCAATATCGTTTTGTTGCTGCTGTTCGATAGCCTCTCTCTTTTCATGTTCCATACGACGCCTATCCTCCGTATGTTGTAATGCCAAGTCCGTATATTGTTGTTGTAACGCTATTCCAGGATCTACAGGATATCTAGGCTTTTTCTCGGAATCCTTTCGTTTGCTTGACGACTCAACAATATTATCTCGTTGTCTCGAACTACTCGCTGACGAAGCAGGCTTACGTACAGTCGAGGCACTTGACGTTGGCGGATTTAAAAGACCGCACTGTGCTAGACTTTCATAGGCCGACGATACACCACCAGGTTGCATTGAGAAAGGATTTAAACCACCTAAACCTAATGGCGTGTAAAGAAGACTAGGATTTGGAAAGAAGAATGGGAATGGCGTCGTCGTTGGTAATGCCGACGATGCCGATGACGTCGATGGCACAGATGTTTTGCTAGTAGGAGCTTCCAATTTGTTTCGTGGTTTACCAGTACTACTAATACTGCTTGAACTCGTATTTTTACTGTTAACCGAACTTACAGCTGGATTTGTATCTGCCGTACTTGTCGCGGTAGCACTCAAAGCTGCTTCCATACCTGCAATCGATGGTAAACCAAGTCCAGCAAGATTGGCAAATAACGAACTTGTTAAACTCATATTACTAAGATTACTAAGATTGCTAAGACCGCTTAACGCTCCTAAGTTAGGTAAACCACCGAATGGCATTAGAAGAGGATTGTTTTTCGGATCAAAATTGCCGAGTGAAAGTCCAGATAAAAGGGAATTATTAAGATTGCCCAACGAAGGGAAATTCAAACTAGATGCCATAGACGTAGCAGCTAAATTCGCTGCTTGATTTGCCGATTGTTGATTGGTTGGACTTGGCATCATTGGTGGTCTTCCAGGACTCTTTCCTTTGCTTACGCCAGATCTATCAGATCCAGGTAATCTCTTTTGCAAATCGTGCGGTAGATTACCACGTTCTTTTACCAATTCGGCCCACTTTGGGTCGACGTCGAACATTGGATTTTCGGTCAACCATTGTCCAAGTCGCTTCAATTGAGGAGCTTTACTACCAGTAACCTAAAATACAAACAAATATTTTACATAATAATACTTTAATCTTTATTATAAATGATAGTATATGTATTAGTATGTATTAGTGTATCAAAATAACGATATGAACGATAAGATCATTTATTACGTACCTTTTTTCCAGTTATACGATTAATCACGGCAACGTTCTCGTCGCCTGTTAATTTTTTCCAGTCTAACAAAGATGGATCAACGCGAGGCCTTCGTCGTCTGGGTGCATTTAAATATTCAGCATTTAATTGCTCAGTTATAGCAGTTTGTTCGGCCAACCATTTGTTAACTTTTGCCTCATGAGAATAGGATCCAATTTTCGTTGAATATTCAGCAACTTTGTTAATATCAGCAATTATAGCTTCGTAATTTTTTCTATGATTACTTGCAGCAGAAGAATGAGCTGAATTAAAAGCTTGTTGTTGATGACTTTGATGTTGCTGCTGCTGTTGTTGTTGTTGCTGTTGCTGCTGTTGTTGTTGTTGCTGTTGTTGTTGTTGTTGTTGTTGTTGTTGTTGTTGTTGTTGCTGCTGCTGTTGTTGTTGCTGTTGATGTTGCTGCTGCTGTTGTTGATGTTGTTGCTGTTGTTGTTGTTGCTGCTGTTGCTGATGTTTCTTGAGTTCACGATTTTGTTCAGCTTGAGCAAGCAAGGCAGAAAAGCTATCCTTGTGCGAATGTAATGATGGAGGTGGTAAATTGGAAGTTGTCCCTGAAGCTCGAGAAGATGGAATTGAAGTGACGGTTATAGAAAATGGCTTTTGAGTATTTGCAGGAGGGTTAGGAAGTCCGATCGGTGCTGATGTTGGTGTGACAGTGACATTAGGTGTGATTGTGTTCTTTTTATTATGTTCGGGATAGTGGCTGCTTTGTTGTTCTTTTGCAGCACTCAAACCTAATACTATTTCATCTAATTTCCGACGTTTCTTTTCCTTTCCAACTATAGGTTCGTCTGTAGGCTAATGAAACAAAGGATGAAGCTTATTTTTCCACGAAAGTGATATTACATGATAATTAAAATCTAATTGTGAATATGATTATTAAGTAAGGAATAATACATCAAATGTTACTAATAAATAATTGACTTTTTTATACTTACACAATTTTTTCTTTTCATTAACTTGTCTAACATACTATCAAGCTTTCCTTTATTGCTATTGCTTTGCTTATTTTTATTAGGCATCGAAAAGTCCTGAACTTCGTTCATAATATCTTTATTGCTATCGGAACTTGTTTTGGGATATCTATAAAAAAAAAGAAAATTATTTCTAGTTTAAATGTGAACATGATTCTTTAAATAAATAATAAATTTTATTTATTACTTCCAATTAAAACATTTACTATAAGAGATTTACCAGTAGACTACTTACCCAGCAGATAAATCAATAGGTGTTAGTGTACTCGAAGTACCTGGTATAACTGTCGTTTTACCAGGAACAGTATATTTCAACTCAAATGGTATATTTTGCGTTCGCGTTTGTTGATGTGCCGGAGGTGGTTGAACTGGTGTCGAACGACGTGAATCCTCAGATTGTGATTCTTCATTAACTTCCCAAGTAGTCGAAGAACTTGAAAGGATTGTTGGTTTGCTCAATGGGGTCGGCGGTTGAGATTGTATTTGACTACTATTCAGAAGTGCATGAAGTTTGGCTAAAAAATAATATGAAAATTATATTTTTACATATAATTTTTATTCGTATATAAAATATATGTTAAAAACAAAAAATTACCTCGTTCAGTTTCTACATCTATGGCAATATGTCTTTTTCTCTTTTTACTAGCAGCAGATACATTATTATTTCCGGCTACCGGAGATCGTGACACTCCATGATCTGTCGTTATTGTAATCACTTCTGAACAATCCTTCTCATTAGAAGTCGTTGCATCTACCTCGTCTCCTGCGCTGAAGTTTATCGACACAGGCCATTCTTTATGTTCTATTGCATGTACGATATGCATTAAACGTGCTTCGATTGCATGCTCCTAAAAATTATAGAAAAATATTATAATACATATTTAAAATATATAAAGTATGTGAATTTTTGTACCAATATCAAAAAGTAAAATTGTTTTTATTTTTATCTATCAAAATTTATATTTTTTTGATCATTCAAATTATTATTTTATATTTTATTTTGTCCAAACATTTTTATATTGTTGTAAATATACGAAAATAAAAGAAAAAATAAATTTTCTTACTTTTGGCCATTTCAAAGAAGCATTATTACAACTGTGAGCTAAAAGCTGTACAATAGTGGGTTCATTATAATCTATTGTTTTATCCCGTAGAACAAAAGTATCGATTTGGGTTAATCGTGATAATGGCTGTATAACTTCTAAATCAGGAAACATTGCTTTAAGTTCTGCCGCTTGTACACTACACTTATCCTCAATTTTAGATACTTTGGCTTTATCTTTAGCATCAGCAGCAGCCTTATCTTCTACTACTACTTCCATTTCTTCTTTAGTCGTAGTGGAATTGTCAGTTTTGATGTTAGGTTTAATATCCTCAGTTGTTTCCATCTTCTCCGATGTATCCGTACCTTTATCTGTAACTGATTCTGTATTAATATCCTTATTTTCAGAAGAAGGTTTTTCATTATTTTCTACTACGGGATTATCTTGCGTTGATTGTTCTTCAGAGTTATTAGACAATTCTTTAGATGTACTATTTTCTTTACTTTGATCATCGGACTTTTCCGTTTCAACAATTTTATTATTAACAGGAATTTCTTCATTTGAGGGTGGAGTTTCTTCGGTAATAATTGATTCGTCTGTTGATTTCGAAGTTCCAATAGAATTATCATTAGGAGGATTAGTTGTTATTTCACTTTTTGTCGTATCCACAGTTTGTTCACATTTCTCCTCAACTTTGATCTTATTAACATTATTATCTTTCTCTAAGGATATACTTTTCGTTACTGTAGAAATAGTAAGCGTATTGCTAATAGGCGGCAATACGACTTGCGGTTTCTCTTCAACTTTAGTTGTTTCAGCTTTGACTATTGTCAATTCCACTTGACTTTTTTCTATTTCGGCATTTTCTGCTTTCTTCTCAGCAGAGATAGGATCTCTCTTAGCTCCTATCTTTTCTATCTTTAATGTTCCTTCACCTTTTTCTAATTTCACCAAAATTTCATCTTTATCGAATTTCAATATATCTTCTCTATTCTCTATTTTAATAGCCTTTTCTGATTTATCTGGAAGTTTAGGAGTTTGCGTACCAATAAAGCTAGTACTTTTTCCTAAAATTTTATGAAAAGAGAAATCAGGATCATTTAATATAGTTATATCGGTTCTCCCTAAACCATGTTTCGCTGCACCAAGTAACAATTCCTTATCGTGTTTACCAGGTTGCCACCATTCTGGTGTATCACCTGATGGCTGACACAACGACAAACGTTCCTCTAAATGAGGATGTGATAAAATTTCTTCACGTATTTTACTTAATAAATCGACTCGATCCAATATCTGTCTTGCTTTAGCAGGACTTAAATGGTCAACTGGAACATCTGCAAAATCTGCAATATAATAGAATGTCTGAGCATGCATATATTATATATATATATATTAATATATTCATAATATACAGGACGATTCATTAACTATTTTCACCTAAATATTTCTATTTATTACAATCGTATTAAAAAACTGCAAAGGAAAAAGTTGCACTATTGTAAGGAGGAAAAATAATCATTGAAAGAATTTTTTCTCAAAACCATTATTTTTTAAAGAGATCTTAAGGTTATCGATGTTTTGTTAAATGGAACTATATATTTTTTGCAATATTTCAATCAGGCATGAAAAAAACAAAAATAATCTTCATGACCATATCATCAGAATCATTTATTTTCGAGATATTTATATTAAAAGATAATCAAAATTTCCGGAAATTATGGACTATTTGTTTGTATAAACAATAATGTAATATTTTTCAATACAATTGTAAACAAAGAAGATATTTAAGTGATTCCATCAGCTGAAACACCCTGTATATATATATATATATATGAGCCGTTTATTTTGAAAGTGCCCTAGCTCCATTTTCCAAAAAAAATCGAGTTAGCTACCGTAATAGTTACATTTTTACATAATCTTCATTCTGAAGTAATTATTTACTAATATATAAAAAATCATTAAAATTTTGTAACACGAAAATTTGCTGATTAATGAAGCGATGAAAAMGTTTATTTTGAAAGTAGCCTAACTCCAATTGACAWTTATTATTTTCTGATTGTCCGTAATCACTCGTAATGATAAAGATTTTGGCGTGGTAGAAATGTCATTAAAAAAAAATTATTTACCGCTTGTCCCCCAAAGATTATTATAATATTATCAGAAAGTGCCGGAAAGATAATAACTTTATTGTAAATGAAATGAAACAAGAAGATTTTTATATAAACAAAATTATTAGAAAAGACAATTTTTAAAAAGGTACAGAATTCTAACGGAAAATCGATAAACTGTTTAAAAATATATGTTGAATGCGTTTTGTCAGAAATGAACCGTATCAAATTTTCTATAGACATCGATGAATGAGAATGAAAATTTGAAAATCATKAATTTATTACCACGTCTGGGTAGACCAAAAAAGTTCGACAATATTATATTGACACCACTGTATGAAAATATCAGACAAATTACAAGAGCAAAATTCAAGGACATAATGGACCTACTACAACATATACCACCGGAATAATATCATGATTTTATGGAATAATATCATGATTTTTATTTTTTTCAATTTGAAGCATCTTAAATTATGTTGAATGGCTTTGGGCTCCTTCAAATTTTATAATGAATCTGGTTGTTAATTTTGAAAGTAGCCTACCTCCATTCTTGGTAAGAAAACGCATATTATTTACTTAATAATTGCCACTATTTTAATAGGAACTATAAATTTAACACCCTTAGATACACTTAAGCAGTATGACTCGTTAGTATCTTGTATGTATATTTTTAATGTCATTGAAACGCAAACCCTTCAATATCATAATATAAATGGAGTATAATAACATAAATTGAATGAGGTCACTTTCAAAATAAACGGCTTATACATAAACGTATATAAAAATAAACAAAAATATATATACAAACCTTCTTCTTCATTCAATTTAGCGTTGCACACCTTCTTACACATAGCTCTGAACGACATATAATAGTCTGTAAGATCTGCATCCGTCTTTTTATCAAATCTTGCAATACTTTTAAATTTGGTCCAATCATATTGTGCCTTTTTTCTATCATAATTGACACCATAAGTCGACACAACACGTAAAAATTCACTTTCCTCCCTACGAGACCATTTTGTTTTTTGTTCTTCGATACGTGTACGTTCTCGTTCCTTTGCCATGGTTTCCATTTTTTCTCTCCTTTCCATTTTCTATATAAAAATTAAATACAATATATGTATAAATAATTTAAAAAATTACTCCCTCCTACAATTACAATATAAACATTTCATAAATATTTTTATTTATTTGGTTAGTATTTTTAAAGACTTTTGATCAGTATTTTGTAAAATAAATAATCAATATATATATATATATAATAATTTATCAGTACTTTAAATAAATAGTTTATTTTTATAATAGAGGCAAAGTTGCATCAATGTTACATATTTATAGTGGATATATATTTAATATTTTATTATTAATATTAATAATAAAATATTAAATATTATTAATATTAATAATAAAACACTGCTAGTATATACTAGCAGTATTCATATCAGTTAGTATATTACTGACTTCCGATGTTATGACTGCTGATATTTTATTTTAACACTTAGCCGACCACTCGGGTAGATCTACCCTTTTCATCTGAGGAACGCTTTTTTCTCTATAGAGCTTATTTATATAGGGTACAACATATAATAAAATGCATCAATTTTTGAAATCTTTTTATGCTCATTATTACGGCTCTTTATTTTCGGGATTTCCGATGGAGCCTTTGCCAGCCATAAAATTATTTTCTAAAACACTACTTCAGAAAAATGCGCGGTGGAAAGCGCAGTTTGGCTTTCCCGAGCGCGGTGGAAACTGTAGAGGTCTCTGTGAGGCGTTTGGTCGGCTAAGTGTTAAATACTGACCAAAAATATAATAAGCCCCAAATAATCTACTTAAATAAAAGTAGAATCAACTAACCAGTAAATACATAGCTAATTGTTGCAAATCCCATCCTTGCATATTCGCTGGTGGTTCATTGATTGTCGTTCCTGTATGATTAGCGGTAGTCGCAGTTTCATTTTCCATACCAATCTTATTCTTTTGTAATAACTTAACATCCTCTTTTTTATTAGTAACACTACGCTGATACGAAGAAATTACTCGACGTAAGCGTGTATTTAGATCAACAACAGATGGCCATGTTTTATCATCTTCTATAAGAACTTCATTTCCATCATGGCTACTACTAGCTTCAGGTATAGGTGTATCAGCTTTGCTAGATATAGCTGGTGAATCTATCGGCGTTTCTCGAGTAAACTTGTCTGAATCTTTGGAATCTTTAACGATGGAACATTCGGCGTCTTCCGTTTCATTTTCTAAACTATTTTCATCTCTGCTACTGCTGCTGGAATTCATAAATAATACATCATATATACATATTTATATAAATATATATTTTTTTTATAATATGAAAATGTAATATATATGTACTAAGACTCTATAGAGTAAGATTTGGTATTTTCACCCTATCAATGCATTCTCATATATACATACACATATCTGTAGTACATATGTATGTAGTACATATACAATGCACTGATGTCTATCACAGAATTTAAGAATTAGATATTTAAAGGGAACCCTGAGACAAATGTAAATTTGAAAGAAGAAAATATGCAAATTACGCGATGTCATCCCAAACAGCTCAGTATGGATATAACTATCTGAAAAAGTAGCGTGTAATCCACAAAAATAAGATAAATTATAACTAAATCGCTGAGAGAGAAAGAGAAAAAGAGAGAGACTGTTGAATAATAGATAAGAATTATCTTCCAAGACAATCATAATCATATTTATATTCATCCATAATTTATTCCACTGAAAATAGCAATCTCATCGATCAGAAAAGATTTCTATGAAAAAAACATTACAGAAAAAATAAAAATTATATATATATTATGAAATGTGATATGAGAAAAGAGATATGTATGTATAAATATGTCCCTTATTGTTTTATAATGTATATGCTAATGAAAAAAAGAATCCATAATAGTTTTGCATAAACACGGATGTAAAAAAGCTGATAAAAAAAAGCGTGCAAGCGTAAAGTGTTAGAGAGCAAATTTGCAGTGCCTTTATAAAAGGAAAAATAAATATATATGTGCATATAT